GTTGTAAAATGGTCACCAGGCAATATTATCGTTTATCGCAATAAATTTTGAGACAATTAATCGTCCAGCAAAATTTGTTATCGTGACAGGCCTAGATTTTCATACAGATTCTAACAGATTGGCCAGAGAAACAATATGTTATCACTGAATTTCAATCACCTGCACAAAAACATTTTAGCTCAGGATTTCTTTTAAACTTTAAGCCCTGTGGGGAGCATCTAAACAGCGTTTCTGAACGTTTCAGTCTTGTAAATATAAAACTTTTAAGGACCATTATTATTATGCTGGTGCTGCTTCTCAGTCATCCAGGTCATAGATAATAAAAAAAGGTTAAAAAACAAAACAATGGACTTCTATTCTGAAGTGAAAGACATTTAGCTTCAAACGAGAAAAAACTATATTTTAAATAGAGGAGGTCTCAGGTTTCAACCTTCAAACATTAACAATAGGACACCATAGGTTTGATTCCTAGACTCCGCTGTGAAAAGTTCAAATGAATGCGAATCACAAGGCCTCATTAAAATAAATACATTTTTCAATAAAATAAAATTGTCATTAAGGATGTGAGCTTTTGTCTTGTTAGCATGTCAGGGAATTGATGGACGAAACATTAAATCAAACATACAAATTTAAAATGTAACTAAGTGTATTTTAAGACCTAAAATGGAAAGTCTGGACACGAAGACTTTAGGACCTAAAACTGACATTCCTAATGCTATAACACCCTGCAGAAAGGCTGGTAAAATTACAGTTTTTGTGTTTCATGTTGCTTTGCTGTGGCAGCCATCTTGAACAGGGCTGACTCTAAAAGTTTATAAGTTGTAGATGTACAGCTAGGGAATACTTCCTGAAAGTTATAGTAAAATGTATCAATAGTTCTGGAGATATTTTGCTAAAACTAAAGATACATTATGTCCTGATGCATCTCAGTAATCCAGGTAAAAAATATCAAAAAGAAAAAAATTGTATAGGTCCTCTGGACGGGTTCTTCTCTAATGAAACGTTTCGTCTCTCCTCCAAGAGACTTCTTCAGTCTGAGAGTTTCAGGCAAAATTCAGGCTTTTAAGCCCTGCCTCCATGTGACTGATACTCACATCACATGGCTATTGTTGACACCTAATTAACACCTATTGTTAACAGGGGGTGGAGTGATACTGGCAATAGCTGCACTGTAGGAGGGGGACAACTGAAAACGGAGGCCTCCACCTCTGTTTAATGATGGACGGTCTTTCTTCACAAAAATGGCTTCTTTTACTCCTCTCTCAAACCAACGTTCCTCTCTATCAAGAATGAGAACATCCTCATCTCTGAAAGAGTGACCGCTGGCCTGTAAATGAGAGAAAACTGCAGAGTTCTGGCCATTAGATGTAGCTCGTCTGTGTTGGGACATTCTTTTGAACAGTGGCTGCTTTGTTTCCCCGATGTATAACTGGTCGCAGTCCTCCTGGCACTTAACAGCATTTTTTTTTAAAGATACATTAAATGGTATATGGACTGTACTTATATAGCACTTTTCTATCCAACAAAGATACTCAAAGCACTTTAAACTACAATCTGTGTCCTCATTTACCCATTCACACACATTCATACAGCACTTTATTAGATCTCCATACAAAGCTAATACAGGAAAATTAATCAATGGAGACTAATCACATTCAAACACTGATGGGACACATCAGAGGCAGTGAGGGACATGACTGCCTTTGGGTCACAAAAATCAAGATTTCTGTCAAACCCTTGTTTTCCTCTTTGGACAGAGTACATTGAAAGGTATGGAACATCACCGGTGTGGAGAGGCTACAGGAGAAACCATAAAGGAAGCATTCCACCACAGAAGACACGCCTAACTTGCATCGTAACACTTCTTTGATTCCACTAGAACCAGATTTTATCGTCTCTGTTCATCACCTTTCATTTCAAATAACCACATCCATGTTTCCACAGAGGGGAAAGAAGATCTGTGGGAACCCTTGTCCAATTTGCCGGGATCCTGACGTCATTGTCCACCATCAGGTAAAGTCACATACAGTTTTATCACGACTTAACAAAGAGTTGAAATTCATTTTCAAATGTCTGATTTAATTGATTTGGTTGTTGTAAAATATTTCCAAAACTGGCGTGAGTTATAGTCATTGTTTAAAGTCTGTTGGCTGTGGCAGCCATCTTGGATTGTGGAATTGGAATGTTTCTTGAAAGTTTAATGAAAATCTGTCCAGTGGTTCATGAGATAATGAGCTAACAGACATACAGGGTATCTGCAGGTCCTTTAAAAAGTCTTAAATTTACATATGTAAAATCAAGGCACGTGCTTTGAGTGTGTAAACTATGTCACAGTTTACACACTCAAAGCACGTGTTGGGGACGACTCTCAGATACTACCACATCAAATGTGAAGTCGGTATTTGAATGAACCTAAGCAGGCCCAGATGAGAAGTGAACCAGCTGTCTTCTCTTGCAGAACGTTAAGCTGCTGCAGCAGTTTATCTGCCCCCACTCTGGGGAGGTGTACGACGCAACTTATACCGGTAAGTCACCAAGTCATCCCTTCATACACTTAATTAGATTCACAGGACACACGTTTTATTGTCTCTTTTTCTCAGGTGTGTGTAGGAAGCAACAGAAAATGCTCAACCGGGCCATCCAGAAAGCAAGAGATCAAGGTAAAGGTTTCTCTGAAATACTATCGAGTAGCTTCCTGTCCCTTATTTATTATTTCTTGTAAATGTACCAGCTTCAGAAAGTATTCAGCTCCTCTTCACTGTCATTCTGTTGTGCTATAATTGACAGCTCATGAGTAAAAAATGACGCAAAACACAGAAGATACAACTAGGCCTGTCACAATAACCAATAAATCATTTAATCGTGTCATAAATTAAACTGAGGAAGATAAATTAAAATGAAGACAATTTTCACTTGCCTGCAATGAGCTTGTTAGTTTGTGTTTGTGGGTGGCCTGACTGGCTCCCCAAGAGGCAGCCATGACTTTTAATTGCTAGCTTTGTTAGCACACCGCAAGGACAGCGGAATCAAAACAATGACAGTATTATAAATAAAATTTTCTATTTGATATTATAGAGAATTATTTACAAAATTATTGTAGCATCCGACTTATAAACTGAGAAAAGTGAAGGTCTAAATATTTTCTTAAGTCTGGTTACAAGATTTTTTATTCTGATTTCAGCAAATCTCCAGGGTTCCTACAGTTGAAAACAAGTTAAATTTAAGACTTTAAGACCTCTTTAAAGGCACAGTTTGTAGGATTTTGTCAATTATTTTAGCCGAAATTGAGATAATCACTAATGACAATAATAAAAAACATGTCTAATCATTGCAGACAAAGACCTTGTTTTATTATTTTTACCTTATAAAAAGCTGTTTATATCTCCATGGTCACGGGTCGCCTCTACAGGCAGCCGCCATCTTGTCTACGAAGGCTCATGAAGGACAAACTGCGGTGGCGGTGTCAAAAACGGTTTTAGTTGTAAAATGTAATATTTGTTGTCTGTCATTGTAGCTGGGATAATTTTACTTATTAAAGCTCATAATCTTACCACTTGAAACATCACTAGCCCTGAAGCNATCTTACCACTTGAAACATCACTAGCCCTGAAGCTGCTGGTAGACATCGCGGTTGGAATTATCAAAGGTTTTTGACACCTGAGAGACACCGTAGCAACTCCTTTGTGTTTGGAAGCGAGGGGTGGGGGTGGGGGGAGGACCAGGGAGGATGATTCAACCACTCAACCACTGGATGTCACTGAAAACAAATCCTACACACTGTGCCTTTAATGCCATTTAAAATTTATTTTAAGACCAACTTCACAAAAAGCAATACGGAAAAAAAAATTATATACAGTGTGTGTGTATATATATATATATAAAAATCAAATCTGGACAAAAACCCCAAAAAACTTAGCGACAATTTTACCCAAAAGTTTACTTTAACAAAACAAAATTTTGTTAACTTTAACAAAATAATTTACAGTAAATTATTTTTAAAAACTAAATAAATGTTAACAATTATTTGAAATTTTGAGATGAATTACAATAATCCTATTTAGCTACAATGTTTAAGACCTCTGATGGATTCAAGACATTTTAAGTTTAATTAAGGCCTTATTTTTGGATTGATGCCTTTTAATGATCTGCAGGAACCCTGTTCTCATTAGTAAAATGAATTTAAAACAAATATTACTGATTTGTATGAAGTATAGCATTAAGAGGTTTACCTTTTGAATATGTTCTGTTAAATTACTGAATTTTTGTTTTATTGTCATTGACCTATAACTGTGAAAATACTGCATTCCAGTTGTAGCAGAACTTGAAATTCAAAAGCCGGACTGAGGTCAGCTCTGAGTTGAAAGCAGTTTATAAGTCGTCAGAATGTCGGAAAAAAGTGTTTCAATTTTTTGCTCTGCCACAATCATGCTCTACATTTTGGGTGTACAAACTGTTAAAACCATGTCCACTAATATCCACTATAAAGTACAACTGACTCAACGTAAACACAGAACTGCTAAAAACCAGTTAAAGTGTGTTCATGTGAGCAACAGCCATGTTGAAATGATGTCATGCGTGCTGGGGTACGGTCGTGTTGCACAGACTTGAAGTTACAGCGTCCAATTCATTTTCCTGACGCTGAAAGGTGATTCTTGATAAATTCACCGACACAATGTTTCCTTTCAGGACTACTTTCCTTCCAAATTCCACACGTGGACTTCTCAGGACAGGATTATTCCAACACTCACGATGCTGTTGGATACACACCTCCACCTTCCAGTACCTCAGCTGAAACCTGGTACACATGGTACCGGAAAATCACACCTGATCCCAATGAAGTGGCTAAAATCAGGAAGATGTACAAGCCTTATTTAAAACGTTAAGATAATGAAACAATCTGTACGTGTTAACAAAACTGCTAAATAAAACATGATGGAAAAAATGGATGTTTGAGGAATATTTTATTGTCAAGCTTTGGCAGAAGAACGTTTAACTTGAGTAACACTCGTAGAAAAGAACTCATCAGAGGTACTTGACCGTGGATTTTATTGTTACACCTGACAGCTGACGTGTGCAGGTGATCAGGGGTTAACCTTGTTGACCATGGTCTCGCCAAGGGCCTCCAGCACCTCCCGCTTGTAGTCATCAAAGTCTCCCTCAATCTGGTTCACGGTGCAGTCCTCCACCACCCACAGGTGGCACTGAGTCTCTGTGATGAGCCGTGCGTCGTGGCTCACAATTATCACGGCTGCACAAACAGTTTGTGTTAGTGGAATTAGTCTCAGCAAGAAAAAAAACTATTGTAAGCTTAAAATGAAGGTATATAAAGTCTTTTGGGAATCAAACACTAGAAATGCCATTCTTTACTCTTAATGCATCAGTTTTTCTCTGATGTTAAATGTGGTCAAGATGCTGTTTGGTATTAAACACATCAATATCAACAGTTGCTTATTTCAAAATTCTTTTCATTTATCTGGTATTAACATTCACCTTGTTTAATACCTGTTATCAGTGAGTTATCTGTTCAAGTATTGGTCCGAATGAGTGCTTTAAAACAGATTTTTAATTGTGTGTTTTGTTAAAGCATGCAAGATTAGACCTGAATAATGAACCACTTTGTGTCCTGAGATAGATATACTTTAAATACTTCCTACAGACCAGTGCAACCCCTCACTGCTAATAGCCTATATGTCACGGTCATTAATGACGTATTTCCGGTAAAATTCTTGCCACGCTCCTCCCTTCCACTCCCTGCTTACTGCCTATGTTTTTA